TATTAGTATTAATAGCATATTATTTTATACATAAAATAATAGAAAAATTAAAATTTAGGGAAGGATGACCGCCAATGCTAGCTCCTCTTTTGTGCATAAGGCAAAGTTCTGGCTAGAGGAAGAGGGTGAGATAGCTCATAATACAAACGTATTCAATGATAATGGCTATGAGCTATATTTCAGAATAATGAGATATGCTGTATGAGGAAGTGAGAATATTAAGTGATAGCTAGGAACATTTTATTTTATAATTGAACGGGTGATTTGGCCCAAATTAAAATTAAGTGCGCACTAGTCCAGAACAACAATTATTATTAGATTTTCTTATGTAATTATTAAAAAGAGTTTAAGGAATTCAAGTAATTATTATTATATTGCATCAATGATTGATATCAATAATTTGAGCGACCAAATGGTGGTAGCTCAGTTGGCGCATGAGAGCTAAGGAGATGGGGGTGGGTGAGAGCATGTGTTTGAATCTCCCTAGTACCACATTTGGGAGGGGTTTAAAGCCTTAATCCTGAACTCGTCCTGAATTGAATTAGTTGCGAAACAATGAATCGATTGGAATATTTCTAAAAAAAAAAAAAAATTGAGCGAGTATGAAAAAGGTTTAAGAGGAGATGCGCATATATTGTGGAGTGAAACTAGCTAGCTGACATAACCCAATGTACCCTAATTGTAAATTAAGGAACAAAACAATATTTGATGGTTGTTCCATTCCCATCCACCGCAGCTGTCACTTTCTCTTGAACTTACACATCTCCATCAAATTTAACCCTTTGACACCGTTGAACTCCAGACTTACATGATCCCCTCCACTAATTCTTTTACTTTTAGGAACCATATAGTAGCCTATATTATCCTGCTATTGGATGAGAATCACAATTAATAAGTGACACGCGGACAAATTATTTTCAATCTTCCAGTATGCTCCTAAAGAGTTAACAACTCAAAGTGTCACAAACGGGACACCAGTAACCTACATTATATGGTCGCTAAATAGGGTTGGGGAATCCATCATTACACGTTTGATAAATCACGAGGATGATATGTTCTGTGATTTAACCCAAGAAAACTACGAAGGAGAAAAAGACCACCACATAAAAATGATTGATGCGATGCTGAATCAATAGTCATTTATCGGACACGTGAGGTACATAAGATTGGAGGCATTAAACGGCCGAAACTTAGTTTGTATAATAGAATTAATTTGGAACACGTGTCATCTTGTTGCGGCGTTGGATGATTTAATAATTTTAAAAATCAAAATAATAATAATAAGCAAGCTTATCAAACAGTTCTTTGTGGAAATCAAACTCGAATCTTTAAGTTACTACTTAATTAGCTTAGTTAAACTAATGGAAGAGATGGTTTAATTTTTTGTGGACACCATATTGCCATTTAACTAGCACCCGTGTGTCTGGACCTGCATGGACATGTCGTGATGCATGTTCTAGTATGTGTGTACTACTTGTTTCGGTATGCTTTCCAATACAAGAAGGATGCCTATCTCTTAATTATTAGCCCCTTCATTGGTTGTTAAATTAGTGACTTCTGATTCATCTTAATAATTATAAAGTTAATTGTGGGGTTTCAATGTAAAGTATACTTTATTATGGGTTGCAAGATAAGATTTCGATTTCATTAGGTAGCGCTTTTTTTTTTTGAGATAGAAATTATTCAAAGTTGGGATTTGTTAGTTAACATGTGGACTTATAAAGGATGGCGGGATCTTGATGGGTCACTTTACAAATATGGGAAATCAAACTAGGCACACGCATCGCATATAGTCCAAAATAACAATATAAGAAAAGACGGATACTTCGATTCCCTATTTAATGGAGTCTTTTTATTTCCTCTCCCGCAGCTAGATTTTCATTTTTTATTTTTTATTTTTTTTTAATCTATTATTGATCCCCTGTCTCTTGTAAAATTAAGATTATTTTTTTTTTCGCAATGAAAAATAGGCTTGGAATAGGAATGCTTTTTCAATAAATTATAAGATTGAGGCTTGAGACTCTGAAAAGTAAGTGCTTGCAGAAGCTATATTCTCTAAATAAATATCTGATGATTTTGTACTTTCCTTGCACCTTCATGGGCAAATTAACTAATAAAGGCTGTGTATCTTGTTAATATCATCAACGAGCGTGACATAAAACAAACAAAATGCAATTGGAATGTTTCTTTTATTTGGGTCGGGGAATCTATTCTATTGTCTAATAGCTACGGATCACTTTCTTGGGTGAATTATAGTGTGTACATGTATTGCTACCGATCCATCCATAAGATAGACTGAGGCACCTCCACCTGTCCAAGAGTTGTACAAAACGAATGGTCAAGACTATATCATAAAGTTGATATTGCATTTGCATATATGATATCTTCCAATTTTTGTAACATTCGGTACGAGACCCTCCCTTCCCTAGTACGACGCAAAAGTTGGAACACTGTGTATGGTCCTTCAAGTCAAAAAAGTGTTGCTGTAAAATTGACCCTGTAGCCAGCTGCTGCAGGTGAAACAAAACGAGTGAAAATGATTTTGTTAATGCACAAGCGATGCCAGCTATGTCACAACCTATCTTAGTCATTAAATTAAGATTCCTCTTGCTTGCAACTTGAATTGCATCCGTAATGCACAGTCAAACAAGCAAAGGGCATCAGAAACCCTTGGCTGGTTTTTGTGTTGAGGATATGATATTGAATTTTCAGTCTGTTATATAATATGTACAATTAGCAATTACGTTCAAAGAACGTATATTGGACGAGACAAAAGGGGGAGAAAAACGGATTAGGAATAAATTCTTGGTAAGGCGTTCACGTTGAGTTTATGAACTATAGAAAGGTTTCCATTTACTTAATTTTAGTGGTTATTATAATTTTTTCTTTCTTAATCTTAAGGCATCACCATCAATAAAGATAACCAGTACCCTCTTGTTTGAACAGTGAAGTGGAATAGAATTCAGGCGATGAGCTTGTGAAATGCTCACCATTAAAACCCTTAAGTCAGATTCCACGCACCAGAAATTGTTGTTTCAAAAAATTCTTAATGATGCAATGATGAGAATAATAAAATTCTATATTCCGGGCAAACAGGATGACTAATTGATTCGTTGTATCATTATATAACTAATTTATATGTTTTACTTTTGTAAAAAGCTCCTATAAACAAAATTTATTTTAAATGTATGTAAATAAAGTTGTATCCACACTTGAATTCAGTAGATTAATATTACAAAGCACTTTGAATTAAATAAAAAAATTATCACTTTAAATACAACGTTATATATTTCAGGGTTTAGTGTGTGTCCTTTTAAAGTATGTAAGTTGTATTCTTTTAGTAACTTATAGAAAGTCTGACCGGTCATATTTTGTGTAAATCTAAAAAATTACTTTTTTTTCACTTTACACTCAGCGATGTGATTGGGGAGAAAGAAAAAAAAATTATTTTTCAGATTTACACAAACTATAACCGGTCATACTTTATGTAAATCACCTAAAAAGACACAAACTTGCGTATTTTAAAATAATACTTCTTTTTCTCTATATTTTAACGGCTTATCCCCCATTTTTTCAAAGATGAGTTTGTTTGCTGTCGGAGACAAACGATGTGTTGTAATAATAATGTGATTAATAGGATGCCCATATCAGGTAGTGTTTGGTTCGGGAGAAATTTTTTTTTAGTAGGGAAATGTAATTGATAGGAAAATAGTTGGAAAGTGAGTTTGATAGGAAAATGTAAAAAAAGTTGTTTGGTTGACCCAAATATTATTAGGAAAATTTATTTAAATATGCAAAATCTATGTTCGGGAGAAACTTTGCACCTGTTTTTTCACTTCCTCAGTCATCTCACAATACCACATCTCAAGTGGTATTCTGTAACAGTGAATTTCATCCAAAAATCAACACAAAAGTCATTTTCCCATCTATCCTATTTGTCTGGTATTTTTTAAAAAAACCTAAACCAAACGTGATATTTTTCAATATCCACCACACTTTCTCATCAATCATTAAATAAACCTTCAAACAAACACTACCTCATAGACATGCGGGAATAAAAAGCTTCACTCTAAGTAAATATTGCACTTTGCTTTTATTTAAGCATTTATTCATCCTTTGTTTAAGAAGAAAAAATCTCTTGAAATAGTAAAAATGTTTTCTTACAAGATTGGAAATCGAAGTCTCAAACAATAATCAACCAATGAACTTAATTAATATGCGCCTTGCCAAACAAATTCTCATATCGATATAAAATGGAAGCCACGTCATCAAGAGCGGATCATTTTAGTAATGTTTTAAAAGGCATTATTGGTATTTGTCATGCTTTACCAACGGAAAAGCAGAAGGCACTTGATACACTGTACTTTTAAATAAAAAAAACGTACCTAGCCAAAAATATTCTAGCCATATAACATGAAATATAAGGTGACTGGCAAGAATTTTATTAAAATGTAGCCATCACAACACAAATCTGAATTTATGGCAAATAATGTTTGTGTCTCTTGCTTCACCATAACCTAAGCCTCTAAAACTGGAGGAAAACAAAAAAGAGGGGCCTAGGGGTGGGAATTCAGAACTAGACTGTTATACGGAGCAAGTTGTACAGAGCTTTCCAATTTGAACAACGAAGTTTCGCAACCACATGTTCATGAAAGACGTAGATGGCACTTCTTCACTTCCATTTTTTTTAAAATAAAAAAAAACTTCTTTCCAAATTTCTACATTATTTATTTTTTTATGATATTATTTTTAATAGAGGGTTACTTCTCTCGTGTAATAAAACAAAAAATTTCTCATATTGAAAGACAAATAAAATGAGACCACTAATTTATTTTTTATAAAAGAGATATATTTCGTGCGATGTGAGTGTAACATGATAGATTAATTACATGCACCAACATGAGAGTATGATTTTCTATTTTTTCTTTTTAAACAATTTTCGATATGATTTCCCTTTTTAATAAGCCACAACGCGTCCAACAGTACCCCCAAGCATTATAAATAGAACATCCACAATGTTCGACTTGGTAGTAAGTTGATAATTTTCATCTCTTCTAAGCAGAGAATAAGAACTAAAGATGGCAGAGACCCTTCAATTAGCTGTTGCTGTTATTGGTACTTCTTCGTTCTTCCTTAGCTTAGCTCCTTTAAGTTTAATGATTCCTTTGAGTTTTCAACTAAAAAGTGACTCATTTGTGTTTTTCTTGCAGGCAATGCTGCCTCAATATCCCTTTATGCTGCGCCAATGTAAGTTATATAACCATTTTTTCCTTGCTGCTTTCATTTTCTCCCCTTTAGAGACTATGAAGTGTTGAACGTTTTTACATGCTTTTCATGTTCAGGGTTACCTTTAAGAGGGTTCTAAGGAAGAAAAGCACCGAGGAATTTTCATGCATTCCTTACATCATAGGACTATTAAACTGTCTTCTTTTCACGTGGTACGGATTGCCTGTTGTAAGTTACCAGTGGGAAAATTTCCCTTTGGTCACAGTTAATGGAGTTGGAGTTGTTCTTGAGTTAGCTTATGTTCTCATTTACTTCTGGTATGCTTCAGCCAAAGGAAAGGTATGTGATTTATATGATCTACCTACCCTCTTTCTAGCACAAGTTCTTCTCTTCATGCGTTTAATATGTTTGCAAATGTTGCACCTTTTTTTTTTCAATCAAAATCAAATCACAAGCAATAAGGCTTGTATGCAAGAAATCTTTCATTATTTTAACTTTCTGGCAGAAAAAATGACAATAGTAAATATTTTTTATTTTTTATTTTTATTATTTTACAAAATTGGTTTCTGAGATACATAAATGTTGCAGGTGAAGGTAGCCATGACAACAATACCAGTTCTGCTTGTGTTCTGCATAACTGTTGCAGTCTCAGCTTTTGCTTTCCATGATAATCGTCACCGAAAGCTACTCGTGGGTTGCTTCGGCTTAGGTGTTTCGGTAGCAATGTATGGTTCACCTCTTATTGTAATGGTGAGTCATCTTTGTCTTCCACTGAAAAATTTAGCTATAGTAGTAAATATTCTTGCTTTTTATTAAATGGGAACAGAGAGAAGCAAAACCGAAACAGAGTAATAGTGCAGTTCTATTCTACAATAATATAATCTCAGTAATGAAAAAAGAGAAGAAAACAAAAGAAAGTGCCTTTGTTTTTTTTATTTTTCTGGTAAATGATGTTACTCCACTAGTGTTTTCGTTTGTTTTATGGCCATATATAACATTGTTTTATTTTGATTATTGCAGAAGAAAGTTATACAAACCAAGAGTGTGGAATTCATGCCACTACCATTATCTGTGTGCACATTCTTTGCTAGTGTGCTTTGGCTAACTTATGGACTCTTGATTCGTGATATATTCGTTGCGGTATGTAGCATAGTCTCTCATCATAATTTCATAAATTAGAGAGAAAATTAAGATATCTCAAATACTAATAGTGTATTTCTGCAAATATAATAGGGGCCAAGTGTTGTTGGAATTCCCTTAAGCATCCTCCAGCTCGTTCTCCACTGCAAATACCGAAAAGGGAGTGTTGTGGAAGAACCAAACAAGGGGAGCTTGGAAATGGGGGACATAGAAAAGAATGTCACAAATCATAACAATGGCATCTCGTAAAATTGAAGACTTCAGAAAGTTCTACTAGGATTTCCTGTTTTATGTTTGTTTCCTGTACGTATAGTAAAAAAATTATCTCCTTTGGCATGGATGAATTAATCACATTAAATTAAATGTTCCCTTTTCTTTATAAATGGTTAGCTTTACTTATTTATGTCAGTGAAGCATTGATACTATAAAAATGAAAACATATCAACATCATAAAAAAAAAAAATTAATGTAACATTTTAGATTTTGTAATGTTGCTGCGTTGGACCACATTTCTTAAGTAGATGTCACCGGAGGCCCGATTTTCCAACGCATGACCTATTTTGGTAACGGAATATTATTATGGGACATAAGATTAAATGACATTCGGACAAATGAGGATCTCTGTTCTAACTGTAATACAATTCCTGACGGAAATGTCGTGGCGAGAACAAGAAATATAATTAATATGGGTACTTGAATTTTGCGGACAGCTGGTTCTAAAGTTTTTTTTTTTTTGAGATATTCAAGGTTTATTTCCTTAAATGTGGTCAAATTGGGGATGGCTATGTTATACTAAAATAATAATAAAATAAGGATCAATGTGTAATATAGACATATACTATTAAAAACACTAGGGAGATTTTTTTTAGATACGTAAGAAAGTGAGAGTGAGTTTTTAAGAAAATTATGTTTGTTATCACATTTCAAAAAAATTACTTGAAAAAGTGATTTATTTGTGAATTTATTTTGTGTGTAAACTATAAATAAAAATTTCATCCAAAATTACTATCCAGAGCATTGTTGTGAAAACTAGATTGGACCGGCCGGGTCGACCCGGAATTCGATGAACCGGTCATCTGATCGGTCTAGTTATCACATTAAATCGGTCAAGTATCAAACCGGGTACAACTCGATGCGACCCGACCAGTTTTGGTGAAAAATCGGTGACCCGGCCAGGTCGACCCAAAACCCGATGAACCGGTCATCTGATCGGTCTAGTTATCATATTGAATCGGTCAAGTATCAGACCGGGTACAACTCGGTGCGACCGGACCAGTTTTGGTGAAAAATCGGTGGGGCCTGGGTTTTTTTAAAATAAAATATTTTCAAAAACAAAAAGTTTTCCAAAAAAAATATCATAATTGAGATATTTGAGTGATCTTTTACTTGTTGACTTACATAAATTATGTACCTACAATCTTAATATTATCTCAATTATCCACTGTAGGGAATTTTGATTTGATAGTTAGAGATGTCGATTAACGAACATGAAACACCAATATAACAAGCATTATGTGTTTGTTTAATTTGATCTTTTATTGGACAATAAGGTATAATTTATTATTTTTATATTAAAATATTTAGAATTTATATTATTTTTTTAACTATTTGAGTATATTTATAATTTTTTTAATATAAATTATAGATTTATATATAATCACCTGGTTATGCGGTTCAACCAGTGACCCACTGGTTGAACCAATGATCTAGTACCTCGACCGAACCGATTTTAATAACATTGATCCAGAGAGTGATATTTTTGGATTGTTGAGAAAATAAAATAAAAATATGAAAAAAATTGACAAGAATAGAAAATTTATCCAATATTTTCGGTATTAATTTTTATCTACTAAATAACTTTTGGGTAAAGGATTTTTTCAGTTAATAAAAATAAATTATCTCCAACGAGCCTAAAATAATATTATTTTGAGACAAAAATAAGGTATTTTATAATTCTAATATATTGCAGAGTTATATTAATTTTTATCATTATAATTTTTTAATTTTATAACGTAAAATGACATTGTTTTGAACTCTCTAAAAGTAATTTTATCTTCTGAAGAAATATTTTTCCCATGATTAAAATATTTATCTTCTTATCATATTTATAAGAATCATAATTTTGAAAGAAAAAAATAATTCCTCTACCGAAAAATGGTCACGAACAACATTATTTTCAGGATTCATGCGCGAAAACAGAGAAAAGAAATAATCAACTCACTGAATAGACAATTCACTCACGAACAATGAGTTACTAAAGGGTCAGCAACAATTTTTCAGTACCGCGCATGAGCATCGAACAACGTCATGAGACTCTGGTTTTTTCCTTGTCATTTCTCCCTTTGCAAAAGGTGCGAGGATAAGGAGGAAAGGTTCGATTCTTTGAAGTGATAGAAAGAATTAAAGTTGAATGAGGGTAATTAGCGTATAATTTCGTTAAATTTTTCTAATATTTTATTAATTTAGTTCTTAAAAACATAAACAAATCATTAAAAAATTTTCTTTTTTCACTACTTATGTCTTCAGTAAAGATGGATTTGATAATTGTTTTGTAATTTTAAAAAATTAATTTCATAATAAAACTTTTTAGAGAACTAATGTAATGAAGCATATTTTTGTAAATCTAATTATAGAGTTAGCTCAAGCAAAAATATTGAACACTTGTAGAGCCTAACAAGTAGAGGCGTAAATAGGTTAGACTAGACTAAGCTTTGACTTAAATAAGTTAGATTTGTGTAAAAAAATATTGGGTCTAATGTAACTTTTTAGCCTGTGTAGCCTCCAAATTACAAGTCTGGTCTGCTTTATATTTAAAAAATAAAGGTCTTAGCCTAAGCATGTTAGCATGTTTAAGCTTATTAAACATTCAACAACTAAAAGAATAACTAAAATAATTTTCTTTTATTATTCAAAATTATTAAAATAGTAATTTATTTATTTTATTTAAAGTAAATAATATGATATAGGTCGGCCTATAAACTTATAGGCCTGACTTATATAAAAAGGCCTATGACCTATTTTTTAAATAATTTTTTTTAAAAATTTAAGTCTATTCTATTTTATTATTTGTAATAAAACAAATCTAACCTGATATAAAATAACTCATATACCCTTATAAACCTGGCTAATCCAATTACATATCTATTAACAAACATGATGCCTTACTAAGGGGGCGTTTGGTTGGAGCTATATGACGAGATAGATAGGCATTGAAGAAGTGGGATTTTTCATTAATCGTGTTTGGTTGAAAAGTTTGGAATATTTTGCTAGCGAAATCAGTCTTCCAGCGATCCACTTTGCATGTCAATTGGACCCAAATGCAAGGCCACACATTCTCAATTCAGATGTGATATTGGACGTTGTCTACCTATATGAAAAAATGGGTGAAAAATTACATGAAGAATATACCTTCAACTTTTGCACAAAAAGTGAAAATCTACTACCAAATCTTTTTTTGCAGACTTATGACAGCTCACTTTTCAAGGATATTTTCGTAATTGCAACTTATTTCTCCATATATATTTTATCTCAAACCAAATATAGTCTTTATAAAATTTACCTAATTTTGTCAGTTAAATTTTTTTTCAGCCAAACAACTTTTTTAACATTTTCTTACCAAACTCACTTTTCAATTATTTTCCTACTAATTAGATTTTCTAAATATTCATTATTTGCGCATTAGCCCGACCATGCCTAATAAATAATGGGACTATATGGGGTTGGGGCTAAATTTTAAGAGGCTGAATACACACGGGTTTCGCCCTATTTGACAGCTCTAGTGACAAGCATCAGTGTATCAGTGTATCAATTCACTTATTCAAATCAGCGTGCCTGCAGATTCTGATATCAAGTACAAATTTGTATTAATTTGAAGAAACCCATAATCATGACCCTCTTTCCACGTGGTACCTAATCAACGCAAGCTCTTACTTACAATATGATTATGGGTTAAGTTACTCTCATGTAAAATAAGACAGAGATTCTCCTATTGACCCTTTGATATCCGTGCTTGTCTTTTTTTTTTTTTAAATCAATGAAGCCCACACATATTAAATCTATTTCATAAGATACCTTATCTCCTACTGCATAAATAATAATTCCCTAAAATTATACAATGAAACTACTTTAGCAGCTAGCTAGATCTCTTCTGTTCATGATGCTGATATTTCGGTGTCTGTAGTCTGTAAATGAACATATACATAATTAGACTAATAGCGGACATCATTGCGTCATTCTTATATATATATACCAATACCATAACTTTACGAATGGAATTACATTTCTTTCATAATAATTTCCTTATTTTAGTATATTTAAATTGAACTACATTTATTCTTTTTAAGTTTTAAAAACATATATTTTCCTCTTCCAATATTTATTAAGGATTCAAAGACATTGAAATTGTTACTGATTTGTTAAAATATTGATAATAGAGAAATTATTTGTTATGAATATATATATATATATATATATATATATATATATATATTAATTTTCTTTAGATTTTAGTTTTGATACATTGGTAATATATAACTTTTTCATACTTATCATTGAATTTTGTGTTAAACACTTTATATAATAAGTTTGACTATGTATAGGTGAATTCTGTGTGTTTTTTTTATATATAATAAGTTTGACTATATATTGCAAATTAATAATTAATTAATGAGTTTGATTTGAAAAATGATAACTGTTGATTGACGGAAATCAACGGTTAAGATATGGTCGTAACATTGTGCGTAACATTATTTATGTGTCACAATATCCTATCTCATATAAAAATGTGTGGAGTGCATGCTTACATATACTTATGCATGCGTAGGGGTTTTAATAGACTATGCTAAGCTAGGCTTTAACTTAAATAAGTTAGGTCTGTGTAAAAAATATTGGGTTTGATCTGACCTGTTAGCCTGTGTAGGCCCCAAATTACAAGTCTGGTCTAACCTATATTTAAAAAATAAAAACTTTAGCCTAGGCCTGTTAGCCTGTTTAAGCCTATTAAACATTTAATAATTAAAGAATAACTAAAATAATATTATTTTATTATTCAAAATTATTAAAATAATAATTTTATTTATTTTATTTAAAATAAATAATATGATATTTATAGGCTCGACATGTACAAAAAAATCTATAGCTTGTTTTCTAAATAGGTTTTTTTAAAAGTCTAAGCCTTTTCTATTTTACCATTTATAATAGACCAAGTCTGACCTAATTAGTATAGGTTAGGTCGTAGGCCCCTGTAGGCCGGCCTAGCCCATTTACACCCATATGCATGTGTATGCAAACACGTGTATGCTTGGATGCTTGTGCCCATGCACCGCATATGCATTTATATGTGTGC